TGCAATTAAAATAAAAAAAAACATGAATTACAAAATTTTGAAAACTGTTAATTTACAGATATTTTTTTACAGTAGTTAATAGTGAAAATTGGTACTTAGACTAAAGTGTAACTTTAATTATTTTATATTACAATAAAGTTCTCTCCCCCAAAATTTGACCCTTTTTTTACAAACATTATTTAAAGCAACTCAGGCTCATTCTGAAAACGTACTGTTACAAAAATTTCTAGAAAGCGGCAAATACGTCCCAGGAGCTATGTTTTTTGTCAGTTTTTGTGCCTTCTATTCTTGCGTATATCAGGTCACTGTCGACTGACTGACTGACCCACCCTCCTCCTTTTTTTAACCCAACCAATAGTGTTTTCAAAAGCACTGATTAATCAGCGGCTACCCACTTCCCTAAACCCAACCAAGAGTTTTAAAAAGCAATGGAGGAAAAGAAAAGCCCTCGTCTATTTTTTATTTTATCCCACTCACTCTGTTTTTTATTTGTTTATTTTATTTTTTGGCTTCTGTTTTTGTCTTATCCACTTTCAGGAACCATACTTCACTGGATTCGAACCATGTCATAGTCAGGCCCTGTCTGTGTTTCAAGTCCGCTGACGTACATGGCAAGCTACTGGACAAACTGGTAACAGCGGTAAAGCCGTCCACATGGAGGTAAACGGTCTTCTGCTAGCGCAAAAAGGAATGGCGTCAGACCACCCCAAAGTATTCATTTTAAAGACGAAATGCAGCCATACATACTTCTAGCTACATAATTCGTAATCTCCAGAAACGTATATAGGGAGACATTATCAGACGCCTCAATTTTAACCCGATGCTCTGATTCCTTCTAAATTAAACTAAACTCACACTGGCTTATAGTGCCTTCAAAAGTCCATCCAGTTTCAGAACCGTCGAGCTCATGAAAGCAGTGGCATGAAATATTCATAGATTTACACTATAGTCAATTTCAGCATGGGCGGCTCTATAATGCAGCGCATATGATGCCTGAATGAGGATTCATATGTAGATTGACTAGATGATGATGGATGGATGCATGTTTAATGTAATTTATACATTCTTCAAAACTTTAATCATCTCTGTACAGCTGTCGTGGGTCGACTACACTGATTTTATAATGTGTGTGTGTGTGTGTGTGTGTGTGTGAATGCAACAGGTCTTTCTTTAATGGATCCACTCCTAATGGAGCATGAAGGCAGCAGAGAAAGCCAATAAAAATCAATTTCCCACAGCTGTAATTATGGTACTCTCTTGGTTAATTACTCTGGTCTTGCCGTTACAAAGTGCTACTAATGTGTCGTTGAGGAGCTCAAGCTGTAGCATTACCAAAAAACGCCATCGAGCTGAAGAAACCGCCTGCGCGACCCCAGCTGTCAGGAGACTTTCATTTGTTTGCTGCAAAAACAACGACTACCATCAGGCGCAGGTTTACAACATAAGAAAGACTGAAAGCTTCCAACCCCATGAGATGCTTCGCTATATCCGCCGCTCGGCAGAACAGACAAGCTCAAATATTCCTCCCAAATCACAGTGACAGTCGCAATCCAAAGATTACACGTTTTTTTTCCCTTTGCATTTTCTCCGATACTCCAATCTGACACAGCGCAGAGGAACTTTTTTTTACATGTTGCAAGCCTGACTATTGTACTGTGTGAATACAAGATACTGACATGAGACCAAAAACAAAAATAACATAGTAATGCAAATTCAAGTAGAACAACATAATGTGACTTGTTGCATGCTGCGAGCAGATATAGTGTAGTGTATGAAAATACTGTTTTTTCAGTAATATAATATGATTTCTCATAAATCCTTTTGAATTAAAACCATATTTTTATTATAATTATTCATATTTATGGTCTAACTGATGGCTCAGTGGTTAGCGATGTCGCCTCACAACAAGAAGGTCACTGGTTTGAGTCTCGGCTGGGCTAGTTGACATTTCTGTGTGGAGTTTGCATGCTCTCCTTAGTGGTTTCTCCCAGTGTGCAGGTTTCCCCAACAGTCCAAAGACATGTGGTAAAGGTAAGTTGGATGAACTAAATTGACCATAGTAAGTAAATGTGTGTGTGAATGCAAGAGTGTATGGGTGTTTCCCAGTGCTGGGTTGCAGCTGGAAGGGTATTCACTGTGTAAAACATATGCCGGAATAGTTGGCAGATCATTCCGCTGTGGCGACCATTAATAAATAAGATGAACGAATGATTAAGAGTGAAAGAGAGATGGAAAAATGAGTACTTGCAGTAATCGGTGAAAATGGAGAAGGCTGTTTGACGATATTGTCTGAATTGATGGAATGAATGGAGTGAATGCTGAAATGCACAGAAAGGGTTTATAATACATTATGCCATGCCTTCTAGAATGCACTCATTGGTTGTATTTTTCATGGCAATGATTTAAAACACACTGCTAATACAGTGAAATAATATTTCAAGAGAGAAAAGCAGGTGATGAAATGGCCTCCATAGTGTCCAGACCTGAACATTATAGAGGCAGTATGTTACTAACTTGGAAAGAAAAAAACGATATGACAGACTAAATTTAAAGACAAACTCTAGGGAGTCCTGAAAGAAGCCTGATATCACATGGCACACTATAGGGTATATGCAGAGCTAGTGTTTCTTCCCATACTGAGAAACCTCCCATACAACGAAAATAAATGACAGAACAATAAATAAAAAAATTATAAATTAATAAAAATAATGATAAATAAAAAAGTAGCCTCCATTGAAAATAACGAACTTACGCACACAAAAGACGGGAAATGTGAACGGCCATTAATTAATAGCCTCAGCCATAATTAATTCTGTGTGCGTGGGTATTTGCCTCAGCGCAAAAGCCCAGAACTTTAAACTAGCGCACAGTTGTAGTGCACTTTGTATAATTGAAGCAGTTTTGTTCCGTGCAGAAACGCGTGTTGAGAAGCCTTTACGATTAATTAACTGTGACATATTAAAGCGTGGTTAAAAGTAAAATCGGTAAATCGTTACAATCTTAGTCTTATTTACTAAGTTTTTTTTTTTCGTCAGCAGGGGTGTCACAAAACGTAAAAAAACTGGGGTTAAATCATAGAAATTTACCGTAGAATAACGGCCGTTAAATTACAGAAATTTGCCGTAGAATAACGCCCGTTAAATTACAGAAACTTACCGTAGAATAACGCCTGTTAAATTACACAAATTTACCATATAATAACAGACGTTAAATTATATAAATTTACCACAGAATACCACCCGTTAAATTACAGAGATTTACTGTAGAATACCACCCGTTAAGTTACTGAAATTTACCATAGAATAACACCCGTTAAATTACAGAAAATTACATTAGAATAAAGCCTAATAAATTACAAAAAATGTAACGTAGAATAACAGATGTTAAAATTACAGAAATTTACCATAGAATACCGCCGTTAAATTCCAGAAATTTACCGTAGAATAACAACCATTATTTAAAGAAATTTGCCATAGAATAACACCCGTTAAATTACATAAATTTACCATACTAAAACACCCATTAATTACAGAAATTTACCATAGAATAACGCTGTTAAATTACAGAAATTTACCGTAAAATAACGCACGTTAATTTACAGAAATTTACCCTAGAATAACACCCGTTAAATTACAAAAAAATGTCCTTAAATTAAATTTATAGTAAATTTCTGTAATTTAACGTCTGTATTTTATTTTTAACTGCTGGGGTGCTGGGAAAAAAAAATAAATTATAGATGTTTTTTATTACAATGTATACTTAATATATTTAATATATAATATCCAGTCAAGCCCAAAATTATTTATATCCTTTGCAAACTCTAACTTAAAGTAATTTTTTTTTTACCAGTTAGTTTATTTTGACCAATGACAGACTTTTCCCAAAAGATAATCAGCTATCATTTACACTTAAATGATGAACTTAAACACTGAAAACAGAACTGACACAGTTTCAATTTACTATAATCTTTTATGTGAAGCTGCTTTGACACAATCTACATTGTAAAAGCGCTATAAAATAAAGGTGAATTGCACTGAATTGAATCATTTAGATTTTTGGGTAAATTGGCTAAGCTAAATTGTCCGTTATGTATGTGTGTAATTGAGAGTGAATGGGTGTTTCCCAGTAATGGGTTGCGGCGAAAAGAGCATCTGATGCATAAAACATATGCTGGATAAGTTGGCTGTTTATCCACTGTGGCAACCCCTGATTAAAAAGGGACTAAGCTGAAGTGAAAATAAAAGAGTGAAAGAGTATATTATAAATAGTACGCTCTGTTGGATGGTAATCCCTCTGTCAGTGTCGAGACCACTCGATGCACGATGCCAACAGTTGGTCAGCGAGTAATTGAATATAATAAATGAAAATACAAAGGTCTATGCATATAGACATATAATATAATCTTGTACAGTAACATGTACAGTAATTTGTTTCGATTGTCTCAATTTTAATCATTTCGTGATAATGCAACGGTCTAATGCTCCCGGGCTATTGGCCTGACCCGGCCTGATGAAATCCTTGGCTCCCACTGGCCCGACAGGGAAAATGCAGTAGTGATGGAAAAAAAATCTTTCTAAGCTTTTATTTAAATTTTATCCAAAACTTTAAGTCAGAATTTGTCAGGGTTATATATACCTTTGGGCTTGAATGAATGCAAGTTTTAGCTTTCATTATTTATTTATTTTGTATTATTGCATCACACAAAGCTTTTCAGTTTTGTAGCTTATTGAAACACGTCTGCGTGTTCAAAATCAAGAGAAAAGAGCAAGCACTGAGGATTAGTAGCTTATTCCTGTTGTAACAAACCTGCATCAAAATCATGACCCCAAAACCAGGATACAAAACAAAATGTGACATCTATATATACACACACAGAGTGCTGTGTAAAAACTGGTGATGGCTAAGAACTTTGCACAGTACTCTGAGTGTATGTGTTTGTGTGTGTGTGTGTGTGTGTGTGTACGTGCACACGATGTGAGTATGTGTGGGTTGCATCTCACCGTCCACGCATGCTGGTCGGGCTCGTGTGGTGCCAGCGATCTGTCCTCTCCGGCAGGCACAGCGGGCCGTCTGCCTGGCGATAGTGCGCTTGGGTTGACTGCTGTCTCTATTCAACATCACTATCTCACATGTGCCTACTGCCAACTGACCTGCGGAGGAAACACACACACACACATTCACGCATTTCAGAAGGCATGGTTGTGAAAACAAGGATATATACAGTGCATTTCTGATATTTAAACTTAAACATTAATATGTGACATCCCTTAAAATAACCTCATCTTTGAGTGCATTTCTGTATACCAGTCTGAGAGTCATTGCCAAGGCAATCACAGAGGGAAATAAACATGGATGACTTTCAGTGAAACAACATTTAAAGGAACAATTTACTCCAAAATTGTTTTCTCCGTCTCATGTTGTTGCCAGTGGTGGACAAGATGCACATAACAAATACTTGAGTAAAAGTACAGACAACCGAATAATAAAAAAGTACCTGATTTTTATTTTCTTAAATACTAAAGGTAAAAAAAATTCTCATTGATTAACTATTATGTATTTTGCCCTGCAGTTTTCATATGCTGATACTGATAAATCAAGAGTGCAAACAAGTCAAATGAAGAAAATACACCTATTATATAAGCATAAAACAACTATGTGTAAATGTGTAGTTTAACTGTATATCTAGTTTATGATATATAAGAGAAGATGCAAACATTTTTTAGCTCACAAACAACTGACAGTCATGCCTAAATATGACTTTTATTTACAATAATTAATCCTCATTTATATAATAAAATTCCGCATTGGTAACCATCAGTCTTGCATGCACTCAAGCTCTGAGGATCTCCCATTCATTATCATTTCGAGTCCCATTTGTGATTTAACTGGATATTTAATGGCTCGTTTCCACTGACTAGTACAGTACGGTAAGTAAAAGGGTAGCAGTGGTAATCTTTAGGTGGGCGTGGTGTATGACAGAAAGTTTCCCTCAACGTCATTTTCGCTCAAGAAATTATCACATATCATATGAGAAGCACTTCTCACAAAACAGATGCTTTAAACACAAATACTTGTGCATAAATGTTTATTACTAACTTTTCTATGAACATGAGTTGATTATAACTGCAGATCAATGACAGTGCGAAATAGCCTAATGTCTGTAATTATATATATATATATATATATATATATATATATATATATATATATATATATATATATATGTAAATAAATGCAACATATATGAACACATACAGATCCTTACAGTCTGCGATATGTTACGAACTACAGAAATACTACACACAGCATACATTTAGTCCTTATTTAGGTTCAAAAACAACATAAAATATAGCCCAGTCAGGGCAAACCTCCCATCTGTGTCTTTAATCTTCAGCAGCACGTGTAGCCTCTGTTAGAGAGTCATTCCATTATTTAGAGTTTATAATAGTCCAAAAGGTGATGATAATAGTTAAACATGGCAGTTTGTTCACGATTGCTGAAAAAAATAACGTGCTCCTTTTTTCCAGATTCTCCTTTGTTTTTTCGCGTGTCACTCTCACGCTTGTCAGTTTCTGACAGGAAAAGCAAGTCAATAATCAAGCGCACGTTATTATCATGAGCTCAAGAAGTTTGTTATTTCAAATATAGACACGTGCCGAGCGCCAGCAAGAAAGCAAACCGCTCGCGCTTCAGACTGGCTCGTAAAAAACTACGTGCACAGGGTAAAATCTCCTCTTCTTCTTGACTTTGTGGCTGTTCATCAAGACGACGACAAGGTTTGTTTGAGCTCAGGTCGACCATGGCTCGTAATATGTATTTTAATTACACTGTAATCTCTCGGCTGTGTATTAAAACATGGCGGTTTGTCTGTTTTCATTCTGGCTAGCTCCACACTAGCTCGTGACGTATTTCTGTAACCAATCAGCGTTCAGCTGCGTTTGTAGCTCCATCTTTTGGTACCCTTTCCCGTGTTTGGTACCCTTTTGAAAGGGTGTCAAAAAAGTGGTACGGTACAGTTCGGTACGCCTTTTGACAGTGGAAATGGCCATAAAAGCGTACCGAACCAAACCGTACTGTACAACTCAGTGAAAATGGGCCATAAGTGGAGACTTACTCTGACTGGATCACTTGAATCAGCAAGTCTTCAAATGGAAAATTTTACTGACTAGATCATATGAATCAAGAAACTCGAGAATCACACTAGGCGATATCATTAAAAAACAGCTAGTTATTTAGCTTTTTAGTTAGTTTTAACTATTATGCTGATTAGGGTTGTAACGGTATGAATTTTTCACGGTATGATAATCGTGTAAAACAATACCACGGTTTGACGGTTTCACGGTATACGGTATGTTACAAATGTTACAAAATAATAGAACAGTGAAGCAAATTTGACTTTTTCCAAATAATATATTTTTAGTTACTATAAACAACACCACTTACAATGAACAAATAAAAATAAGAAAATAATAAATAATGTGTCAAAGTCCAAATAAAGTCCAAATAAACATGGTGCAAATCCTCAGTAAAAAATAGATATAAATATTTACTATACTATAAATAGTTACATAACGAAACTAGATTCAATATGGAACATCCTTAGGTTTTATGTGCCAGCATGGATATGGTTGTCTATCGATATGGATTTGGATATGGTTGTCTGCAATGCAGACAAACAGCTGCATCTTCATTTGCGTCTTTTGAAAACAGCAAGAGCAGCAGTTCGTCTTTGCTGTGTCACTGTTTTGTCATGTTTCTGTGCTGCTGTGCATGCAAAAGTACTTAGTATGAGAATTATTTCATGCAAAACTTTTTTTTTTGCGTTTTATTTAGCCGCGCATAAATGTATGCCTATCTCTCATTCCGTGTTGTTCAAAAAGCTTGGTCCACAAACAAAAGCGCAACCTATGCTTATTGGTTGTGATATAGCGAGCTTGAACCAATCTGGGCATGGAGGAGGGACAATGCATCAATGTATCATGTCTGATTTGTCCGGAGACACAGTGACGAGCGTTTCTTTGTCAAATCAGCGTTGTCAAATGTTGATGACGTAACCGCACTGATTCCGGAGCCTCTGAAAGTCCGCGTAATGTTATGTGATACAGCACTGGAAAGCTGAGATTCTCTTCTTTATGCCAATCTTTGAATTGTATGAATCGGATCAGCGGATCAAAAGTTATTAAACATTTAAGAGCAATACTTATTTTTAGCCGCGGGCGGCTGTCTCGGTCTTTAAGGGTTAAAACCGTTGATATGCAATTGTTCATGGTATGATAATCGTGCACGTTCAAATCGTGGTAAACCGTCATACCGGTATATTGTTACAACCCTAATGCTGATGATACACAACTTTATATCTCCTTTTTACCGGATAATTTGTAAAATGAATTTACAAAATCAACATATTGTGTAGCTGATATAATCTATTGGATGATTAATAACTTCTTATTACTAAATTCAAATAAAACTGAGGTCTTGCTTATTGGACCCAAAAACCTCACACGCAAAAACCGAGAACACTGTCTAACCCTTAATGGATTCTTAGTTCAGTCCTCATCTTCAGTCAAAAATTTGGGGGTGATTTTTGATAGCAACCTGTGGTTTGAAGGCCAGAATTCAAGCATCTATAAAACTACATTTTTTTTATCTTAAAAATTTTGCCAAACTTTGACATATGCTATCAATGTCTGATGTGGAAAAGCTTATTCATGTTTTAATGACCTCTCAGTTAGACTATTGCTCCTGATGTATTACAACCCCTCACGTCCACTACGCTCAATTAATTCTGGAGATCGATTATTCCCAGAATATCAAAATCAACTGTAGGTGGTAGATCTTTCTCATATCTGGCACTTAAACTCTGGAACAGCCTTTCTAGCACAGTTCAGGAAGCAGACACAATCAAATCTGGATATGGATTCTTATCTATTAGTATAGCTGATTATATTAATTATTAAATTTCCTATTTATTGTACTTTATTAATGTCTACCCCTACCCAAACCATCACAGTAATATAAAAACAGATCTACAGTCTTCTCTATTAGTATAGCTGATTAACCATGAGAATCATTCATATTATTTATTAAATTTGCCATTAATTGTATTTTATTAAAATCTACCCCTACCCCAACCATAACCCTAAACCCAACCATCACAGTATTGTAAACACAGACCTGAATCTGGAGTCTTCTCTATTACAGTAGCTGATTAACCATGTGGATGGATGATAACAGCCTTCTAAACTTACTAGTAGGCAGAAGGCCCCTATTGGCCCATATCTATCAGCTGATGTTCACTAAAATGCCCATTCAATCGAGTGATAACATTTGAAGGGGGTGTTTGAATAAGCAAGTTATCAACTGAACACATTAATTTTTGAGAATGCAGCAAAAGTAAAGGTTCCTTAAAATATGAATACTCTGACAAAGTACAACCTAATATTTTTAATTAAATTATATTCATTAATTCATTTACTTTCTTTTCAGCTTAATCCCTTATTAATCTGGGGTCGCCACAGGGGAATGAACTGCCAACTTATCCAGCAAATGTTTTACGCAGCAGATGCCCTTCCAGCTGCAACCCATCACAGGGAAAATGTAATTATATATGTGCATAATTATACAAATTTATTTTAAAAATTAATTCATTATAAAAAGGTGGGTCAACTTAAATTTTGCAAGTGGTAATTGGTTTGCTCACTTTTTATAAGTAAAGTCAACTTGTAGCTTTTAAGGCAGCAGGTTTACTCAAATCCGTTAATATTAAAGTAGCTATAATCGTCGGCGCCAATAACCTAGTGGTTAAGTGCACTGACATATAGCGCCATGGTGCTAACAGCGACTTGAGTTCGATTCCCAGCTCAAGGTCCTTTGCCGACTCTTCCCCTCTCTCTGCTCCCAATACTTTCCTGTCTGCAACCTCCACTGTCCTATCCAAATTATGAGCTATATTAGCTTAAATCACTTTTTAGACTGTGAGAATAGTAATGAATAAAAACTGCTTAGTTACTGTCCACAATTGGTTGCAGCACCCAATGGTGGACAGTAACCAAGCAGTTTTTAATCAGGCTCTAAAATTAGTTTGATTTGTGTCCTATAAGTGGCTAATTTTATTCAACTATATAGAAAGTCATCTGATTGATTTGTGAAT